TTTATACTGCTCGTAAAAAATGCTCAGTCTTTCTGTAATGGGAAGAAAGTTGTATGAGTGTCTTGCCATTAATATATATGAAACTGTTGACGCTTTGCTGCGACTGACACCGCAGCCCCAAGGACACTTACATACATCAACCATCCCTGGGAAGTCAACTGGTCAAGTCACGCAACGCGAGCGCACACATAAAAGATGGAGGGATTGGGGTCAGAGCCAACATCTAAGAGGTGCCACCTTGAGCAGGAGGAGGAGGTGACCTGTTTGCCAACACTGACCTTTTCAGGAGGTATGCTCTCAGGGAATTAGATATTTATGGTAAAATTATGCACAGTTTTTCTAGAAATTAAAGCTTTACAGTAATTTGGAAAACATCTAAGTTAGCTCAGTGGTTAGACATTGCTGAATTGAAAGCATTCTCCTAAATAATTCTTCCTTACAGTGGTAATCAATTACTTGCATTAAAAGATCTCACCTATATATAGTGTTATTAAAAATTAGATTTATATCTCTGTTTACACTCTTTTTCACAACAGACTTGACCCAAATAAAACCTATATGCTAATGTTCTTTGTGACAAAGGAGTCAAGTGTATTTTTTCTTTTTTTCTCCTATGTTCAGACAACCACATCTATACTTTAGGTGCAATTACCAATTACAAGAAAGAGTGAATCTATCAAAGTGACTCTTAAAAAGCTTACATTACTACAGAAGTTAAGAACTGGATCAATCCATGAGTTTTACACAAACACATAATTTTTTGGGGGGCTTGTAAGAAAAATCCAATTTTGCTTTGAAGTAGACAACTTTTAATTTATAAGTCTAATGTTATTTCAAATGTTTAGCATACCTTAAAAATTCAGATAGAAATATGAATCTAAGTCCAGCCAGTGATGATATCCTGAAATGTTTACAGATACCACATTGCTTTTATTGAATCCAATGGTAATCCTCCATTGATTTTGATAGTATACAATAAGACCCTACGGAATTTTTATTTTCATTTGTAAATTATGTATCACCAGATACATAATGACATTCTTCATTTCTCCAACACCACTCATCAAGTAGATTCTTTTCATAAAGAAGCTGGGTCTCACTCTTTTTAGTGATATTTTAGGCTTGTTCCAGATTTGTGTAGTTCCATTTAAATATTTCATTTTCCACTTCACCAGGTGCCAATCCTACAGCCTCCTCCAAAGAAAAGCATTTTTCGAAGTACAGCTTTGTTCCTAAAGTGCCTTACTGTGCATTTTTAAAAAAATCACTTCTTGGTATAAATGATTACATTTAAAATAAAGCTTCAGTGTGTGATGCTTTGAATCATGATTAAAATTTTTTATTGTTAAACAAACACAAGTGTGCCTATCTCATAATTTACTTTTTACGCACTGCATCTGTTTGAGTCATTGTAGCATTAATGCCAGAAAGAGTTTGCTTTATTCGGATTTGTCAGACAGAAGCTTGTCCCACTGTAACTTTGTTGCTTTTGATTCTTTAGTGGAATATGGAATTTGAAAGGATCACATACATGGATCATTGAATTAGGCTTTTGGAAACTGTGGGTATGGGGCTGACATCTAACCTGAAGTCACTACAGCCCGTCTATATGTATCACACACCACGGTACCTTTCCAACATCTCTAACATTTGCAGTGAAAAAAAAAAACCCCAACCCCCCCCAAAAAAACCCCTTGGCTATAATTCAGTACAGAATGAAAGCGGGAGAGATGAAGAGACAGCATAAACATCCCGAGTTCCTGCAATGGGAAGGAATTTGGTAAGTAAAGTTCCCACTTGACTCACACCATAAAAGAAGGCAAAAAGTCCTAAGCGTCTCTGACAAACTGACCGAGGGAAAAAAGCTCCAGGAGTCAAAATCTTTAATCATTCAAGTTCGAGGACAAGAACAAGGCACCCCAGCTGGACACGTGGGAGATGCTGATTCTGTGGGGCACACCAGCCCATGCTGTCCTGCCTGCTCCTCTATCTCTCCAGAGAAGCCGAAGACTGAAATGCCCTCAAATGCCAAGTCATTCAGAGGAACAAAAAGGAAGAACATGACCACCTTGTTCTGCTGCAAGATCAGTAGCACAGGATTTATGTAGTTTAAAAGTGATGCAGAAAAACCCACCCAGGAGTCCTGTCTACTTTCAAAGCCCTTTGGAGATTTCAGCATATCTCACACATAAGGATTCATATCACAACTTAAATTCTATTTTTTTTTTGTCTAGCATGGCAATGACTTTTCCAGGCTTTTTTACTTTCACCCTGATTTTAGAAGACTCTTTTTAGAACATCTCAGGTAGTTAGAAAGGTTCCAACTTTTAGCCTTAATGTATTTGTGTCCCATTTTCAGCGTTTTCTGCTTATAGTAATAATATTATTTAAATAATCTCCTTTGCTACGTACATTGTTTCATACCACAGATACTCCATGTTCCTCATCACTGTAGCAGCTATTTGTACATAGCAACCTTGAATCATATCAATGAAGTCTATGCACAACTGGTTTGCAAGAAGACATTTTTGGATTAAATAGCATCGAAGGCCTGATTTTGCTTATACTGCTATCTGTCACTTCCAGAAAACAGAAAAGTTTAGGTTATTGCTTTTTCTGAATGTGTTGTTTCCCTGGCTGAGGTACCTGCATGCACTTTTCTGGCTGACAAAAACTACCTATTTTAAGGAGAAAACTGCTGCAGTTGCAGTTCTAGCCAGTCAAGAAGTCTGATGTATATTTACATAGTACTTAAACCTTTATTTTCTATTCTATAGCTTGATAGAATTGGATTTATCAACAGTACATAGTTTTTGTTAAATTACTACTTTAAAAATGCTTTCCAAAAATCATGCGTGAAACTTTGCTCAGTTCATTGATGTTGAGGTGAGGTAATCTCAGGAGAGGTGGATTCACACAGGGAGATTCCTTTGTTTCCAATTTCTGAGCATCACCAGTTTACATAGTTGTTAATGTGTCTGCCTGATTCCGCTTAACTCTTTAGATCTCCTAATATGATCTTATGCAGAAATGAGATACCACATGTACAAAGAAACCAAAAAAACAACAAAAAAGATATTTATATTCACAGAATATTTATGCTCCAGCTACCGTATATATCTTTTTTATTCCCTTACAGCATTATCCATGACAACATACTACTGAAGAAAAGGGGACAGCGATAGTTTTGTGTACATCATAGCTTGCAACTACATAGCCAAGCTTTCTGAATGGCCAAAATTCAGCTTGGAAGCCGCCCTTAACCCATGCCACACTCAAACATACTGAGCTAGGATTAGTGGTAGGTGACTGAACCAAAATCATGCCAGGACCCATGCTAATAGCTTAACAGTGATTGCTTGCTAGTCCTCAGGACTGCGCCCTGGCCCTCCTCAGTTTGCTGCTATGGACATAGCCTAGGGTTTAGTTCAATTCCACTACATCAACAAAGTTAATGTGATCTCTCCAGTGAGAGTTAGACTTGGCCCTAGGCACATAATTTTATTAACATTCAGAAAATTACAACATAAGCAAAAATAACCCCAAAGAAAAACAAAAAATGGAAACTTGAAAATGAAACATATGCTTGCAGATTCAGTGCAAAAGCAAACTGAAGCAGAAGTTGCTAATACGGTTTTAGTACTTTGCGAAAGTGCCAGCTGGATGGATGATAATTTTTCTACCCCTGCAGGGCATCAAAGCTTTTATAAAATCATTCCTTTCACACATATTAGCACTTAGCTTATTAAAACAGATGATACTTTTTTTTTTTTTTTGTAAAGATGCCTGGGAGTGTCTTGAAATACAAAATCTGAGAGATAAATCTCATTTTGACCACCCAGTCTAACAAACAACAAACACTGACATGACATACCATGGCTGAGAGTCTATGTTATGGGACCTTCTGTGACTGCCACAACTGTAGTGTCACAGGAAAGGCTGTGAATTGCTGTTATGAAAACATTTGCTGTAACTTGCATAATTAAATGAAACTGCCAGAAAAGCTTTCTAAAATGCTTAGGAGATGGCACACAAATAAATACATTTCAAAGTGCATATTATGTTCCAGAATGGGTATTATAATGAATTGTATTGCACAGTATCAGAGACCTTGTTTTTTCCCTGTTCAAATTCCTACATAATTATGTTACTGATGTCACTGTAAATTGATCCAAGTTTGTAATCAAATTGTATTTTATCATTAATATTCATATTTTACATGTGTAGTGGTTTAATTTTGTAAAAAAAGACATGATCTCACCACCTAAAAGTTTCTCCTTTGTGCAACTCAGAAAGGGACATACTAGACAAAAATTCGTGATAAGAACTTGGATGAATTATGCCCAAGAGTACAGCTAGGAGTTCATAGAGAGCCCTGTGTGGAGAACATTTGGTAGAGTAGGTGACCATTTCTAATAAATGAGGAGGAATCAAGCAAAAGGATGATTGGAAAGAGATGGTGGAAGCCAGTACAGGGACTGAGGAGGACACAAGCTTGCAATGTACAGACATTGAGGAGAAGGGTTATGCTGAACTTGTACAAAGAAAACCAAAAATATGGAAATCTACAATCCAATAAATGTTTGTCCAACTTCAAGTTCTTAGACATCTCACACTAAAAATGTGATAAAATTTAACCCTAAAAGTCAGTTCATGGTAATACCAGCCACAGCAGTTGTCTTAATTGGCCTTCTTTCTTTAAGGAACGATATGTACAAGCTCTTTATTTAAAGAAATTAACTATATAGTCACACCTATCCAATTCTGTTCACTAATAGATTCAAAATCAAAAGGTGAAATGAACTTTTTTTTGGCCTTCTAGAACTTAAAATTTCCATGCAGAAATGCTTAAAGAAAGCCCACCCTTGACAGCTGAAGACAATAAATGAAAACCAAAGGAAAACAACTAGTATGCAATCTGCTTGCTGAATTTAATCAAAATGTAGCTTATCCTTTCCAGTGTAGTGATACTAGCAAGTATTGTAAGGGTAGTCACTTACGTCAAATAGCTTCTCTATATACATTTCCTCATTGACCTTTTCTCGAAGTATATCCTGATTTTGTCGAACAAACATAATGTAGGTATCTGCTAGGTCCATGCCTGGTTTCTGCAGAGACAGGGCAGAGAACAGGGGGAAGAGAAAGATCACACAACAATTGAGGCTTACAGAAAGTTATTTTTAATCATAAATAAGACTGAGATTATGTTAGAGTTCCCAAATATGTATAAACTGTTTATGTTTACTAAATCTACTGCAAGCTGTGGATTAGCTACCAGGTTCAGGAAGGCTCACTGTTACTAAAGTTCTCATAATTTATGAACGGTTTGAGTCAAACGCTGCCACAGATTGAAACCTTGGATTTGGTACCGTCCATGACAAAACTGGATTTTCGTCACTTTGTTCCTAGCAAGGTTCTCAGACCCTCCTCCAAGGTCCAGGTCCTGCCACCACATTCAGAAAATGGTTAAAAATATGCTCCTTGGAGCCAGCAAGGTCCCCTTTTATGGAAGTATATGAAAAGCTGGTCAGGAAAAGCAGGTTACTTCTTCTAACATGAGCCAAGAATGAACATAAGCACTTTGGGAAGTCTTCTGTAAATGCTCTATGCATGAGCTAATTTGTAAAAAGTACCTTTTGCCTGAAATAATATTTGAATTCCTAGCAAGCATGAGAAGGTTTAATTTTATGATAAGTTACTTTAGAGTAAGCCTCAGTAAAACATTATCTATAAAAGTTCTCAATGTGGTTAAAATCGGCTCAGAATGTTAAAGATACTGGGGGAGTAGGAGGGAAGCAGCTATCTACAGTCCTGCACTGCCATCCTAGAAGCTGATCCTGTCTCAGTGACCGCATAGATACAAAGCTGTTGCAATAAAATAATTAGCAAAGAACTGTATGTATAAACACATTAGTATAATTAAAATATTTGCATATAATTTTATATTAAATCTTGATTTTAATTCTACAAGTGGATAATATTTTATTTTTCCAATTTCTTATTATCACGTATGTAATGTACTAAAGTGTGTATCATCAGATTTGAGTACAACAGACAGGTGCAAAATGCCCAAACTGTTACATGTCCAGAAACTGCCATGACAACATGGGATGAAACATTTGAGAATATTCCCCTTTTAAAACTGCAACAAATGAAACCACTTGGATCAAGAACTTATCTCTTTTCTGGAGATCCACCACGGAACACATTTAGGAAGAGGATCCAGAATATTTACTTTTTCATTTAGACATTAGCATGAATTCAGTTTCTTAGATATAGCAAAATATATAGTTAAAGTTGGCATGATGACCTAGTTTAATATTCCTTGTCTCTCCAAAACTTACTCTGAAAAATATGACATGCCCTGCACATTTAGATTAGTCATTCTAAAGGCAAAGAAAGATCATTTTAAAAACTCACCACTTACATACAGCTGTTTATATTAAACTTTTAAGAGGAAAGCAGGACCATTTACATTTACATCTGAGTTAACACAGACTGATCCCAAGAAGGGAAATAAAAATGTAAAAAATAGATAAAACAGTTGCAAAACATAGTTCACAGAAATCAATAGATTTCAGTCAAAAAAATGTGCATTTTCAATTAAATTTTATATTTGGAAATCAAACTAACTCACAAAGTGAAGGAGATTTAAACCAAAAGCTTGATATTGTCCTTTATATACATCAATTTGAGATGTTTTTCCAAAATGCAACCAGCCAGAGATGAAAGTTTATGGAGTTGCTAAAGCATCATAAGTGATTTATAGGACAGGGACTTGTTCTTACTTGGACACATAATGGGAAAATAATTCTAAATCTTGGGTGGGGCCACGGAAGGAGGTACTCTAACAAAAGCAGATTATAATATTTGGAAGTAAATATTCAAATGTATAAAGACATCTTCCACTGAATGCTGAAACCTAATGGTTCTTTAAGCCGTGCATATTTTTCTTTTACTAAGTTCAATAAAGAAATGTTTCTCTTGCAGGCAGTCAAAGCTAGAAAATAACATTTCCCATCAGCATCAACTCTCCTCTTATCTTGGAGGTGTTTACCTAGTCTTGAAGCTGTGACATATGGGAATTTCACACCTAGTGACTATATTTTCATGTAGCTTGTGGCATAAGAGTGTAATCATTAAAAGAATACACACAAGTATATAACTGCAACAGCTGGTGACATTTACCAATTAGAATTACAGTTCTTTAAAACACTTCATTCTTTAATGTGTGCAGGATAATTATCTTTGAAATTGCTGTGGAAAAATTAATTTTCCTTTTAAATTGTTTCTGCTTACAGTACAAATGTGCCTGGATAAGGAAGATTATCAATATTCATAGAGTATGGAACTTTGTTGTAAAACCTCACCAAAATAATTGCAAGCTAACCATCTTTTCATATGATGAGGAAAACCCATATTAAACACTGAAAAGACCTAATAAATACTTCATTATCTCTCCATGCTGGATTCACTAAATTTGTTTCCTCTAAACATACAAAAGATGAAAATAAAGCTACTATAAGCATCAAAATAGGAACAGTATTGTATACTACATTTTTTTTCTTCATAGGGATATATATTAGATGTGTAACTCTGATTACATGTTCCAAATATTGTTCCGCTATTTTGGATTATTAACCATAAGAGGAAAAAAAAGGTTAATGTAGAGTTTTAAATTCTTTCAACAAAAAGAGAGAGAAGAAATAAAAAAGCAATTGGTTCCCTTAAAAGACAAGCAGACAGAAGCTGAGCTATATTTAAAGTATTTGTCTCACTAATAACCATAGACATTTCATTAGTAATACTGTGGGCAGACTGTGAGCAACTTAGTCTCCACTTTTATACCCCAAATTTAAAATTATCTTCCTCTCATACTCTGGCAGAATATTTGCTGTAGTTATAAAAACTATTGGCACATTACTTAGAGAAGATTTTAACCTGGTGTATTTATCTGTATTTAATTTTTAAAAGATATTCAGCTCGAAAAGTTTCCCAAGTAGAAAAAAATATATTCAATCATATTTTATTATTGTTTAAAAGTTATTGTACATTTATTTGTTTTATTCAGAAAAGCAGACAAGATGTTTTGCCTATCTTAAAATGAAAGGGAATCAAACAAAGAGATGAATGGAGAAGCTGGAAACACAAAGGCATCAAATAAAATACCAGGAAATGAAGAGCTGTAAATAGGGTTACTTTGTCGCTGGTTACACAAGTAACTGAATACACTGGCAAGTGAATGACTTTAAACAAGGGTGTAGACTTCAACACATTCTTTTTTAGGGTTAATCACTAGTTAACCTAGCAAGATGAACATGCTGTTTGGTGGGGGGGCGGAAAAATCCTTGTTAATTATATACTGCAAGTGCTCTTACTTCCTGCTGTTACACCTAATCCCACAGGTGCAGGTTGTCTCTTTTACTATTCACTGGTAGGTGGATCCAGCTCCACAGTCTTTTTTTTTTTTTTTTTTTTTTGTCATAGCAGCAAATTTAGACAAAGAAGAAATAGCTTAACCTTTCACAGAAAAAAGAGGAAAACACTGTCAGGGGTGTATTTAACAAGGAGGCAAATTTTTAAATACACTATTCCAGTTTCAAAAATGCTACAGAAGCGATATTATGATTGACTTACTTAAGTTTCCCCTGGCACCTCGTCAGAAGCGATGCTGCCTTGTCCTGACTTTCAGACATTCAAATATTTTGCTGTAAAAAGGTCTGCAACAAGTTTAGTGCTACCATTAATATGAGCTTTTCCCTATGGGAGAGATACAGCTAAGTTTTGTCACAGTTTTTTACAGTCTAGTTTGTATATAGTATATAATAGTTTGTCAGAAATCTTAGCAAAAGCCATTTATAGACACTGGAGTTATGTTTGTTCTCACTTTGACACTGGTCACAATGTTTCTTAGCAGCAGAGAGCATTAAACACACTCACATTTCTGATAGCACCAAGAAAAAAAGATCTAGTTTTACAGAACTGCTATCTTGTCAAAGCATTTGTTTTTTTAAGGATTGTAACAGATGTTACAGACCAGCTATACTGTAATAACTTTACTGCATTTTATATGTGCTCTCCTCTCTACCCTGCTCCCCTGCATGCAGGAGATAGGAAGGAGATATTCTAACCACAGCACTGGTAAAGCAATGGAATGAAAAGGAGTGATGATGTAGAGGAGATACTATGAGAAACATCTCAGCTCTTTATTAAATGTCCACTACCAATTAAAACAGGAAATTGGAAAAGTTGATTGGCTGAAATTTATCCTTTATGTACTGCAATGTTCATCACTTGGGCTTTTAAATTGAAATATCATTATATATATCTGTGATTCTGTGATCATTAAATATTTTTGGAATAGAAATCACTGGTACTCATACAAGATCTCACTCCTTCATTTCTTATACATCAAAGTACATAAACTAGGCAGAAGAATGCACCATTTGTACAATCAGTTTATTTCCAAGGTATTTTTATATGGCTATAAAAATCCTGCTTTGCTTAAATAATAAAAAAAAATACAATGCATTTTCCTTGTTTCTTGTATATCATGTAGATTAAGATGCAACCTTGGCACAGGTTGAAGGTGTGCATATTAAGAGAGGACTGTCATGCAGAATTTAAGATGTGATTCTGCAAGCATTTATGCAAATTCCTTTTCATATATGTATAGTTTCATGGAATCCACAAGGCAACTGAAGTGTACAAGTATTTGCATCATAATCTTAATTCTCTGGCATTAAGGATCTTCAGCAAGCTGCAGTTGTTACGATAAAACCCTGTTTTTTTTCTTCTGAAACCACTTTGTTCTACTACATTATTTTAACTTTCAACTGATTAGTAGTCATCCTTTCAATCTCCATTTAAGAGGCTTGCTTTGAAAGAGATGAAGCAGTTTTCCTGTCGATTCTGCAATAGTTTATTTTTCATGGGCTTGGAAACAGCCAGAGGAGCAAGTTTCTGGGCCTGGATATACAAAATGGGAAGAAGCAGAGAGGTGAAAAACTGAGTAGGGGGATAACAGTTCTGTGCTCTTTATTTTGAAACAGATATTTCCAGAAGAGTCCTGCTCAAAAGTGAATGGCACAGTATTGCCATACCTCAATAAGGGCTGAGCTCCCCAAAACAAAAACAATCAAACAAAAACTTTCACTTCTTAAAACTAGTAAAGTGTGGTAATACAAGTGTGAGCTTTGGAAACAGGTATCTGGAAGACCTCAGCACATACGTGCCTGGTAGGAGGCAGAGTTCTCACCCTGACCTCTAGGATTTAAGAAAGGGCAACTTATAGCAGAGAAGGGTAACTTGTTCTAAAAGAAGTTTTAACTCCCCTAAATTGGTGCATGCATTCACAAACATCAAAACATAGCATTGCCAAATTCCTGAGCATTAAAACATAGCATTGCCAAGAAAACAAACTGATGTATTACTCGTCGTTGTATTTTTTATGTTATTTTTCTCCAAACATCTGCTTTCTTTCTTGTGTAATTTCACTCACCTTAGAGAATAGCACAGTGTGAGAACTATCAAAAACCAAATAACATAATAGTAGCTAGCTATTTTTTTTACCGTTTTAGAAAATTGTTAGCTATCATTGTCTTTACATTTCTCACACTGGATGATTTTATACTATTCCTAATATTTCTGTTGGGGTTTCAGCTTAGAAAACTGACATAGTGTCCTACAGCGAGTGCCAGAGGAGATCAATGAAAATTCCTTGTGACTGTGCACACACAGTTTGCGAAAGATGATTCCGAAAAACAGAGATTTATTTTGTCTGCTTTCCTAAACACGTTAAAAACAAACAAACAAAAAAAAAGAGGATTCTGCTTTTCTGGAGTTATAATTCTCTGCAAAGGTTAACCAACAAAAGACTACACAGCAGTATTGAATACTTTCACAAACAAATCTGTCCAAAAACACTGCAAGTTGTAGTCTGCATTTCCTGTCTTGGCTCTGAGACGTTAAAGAACTCTGTCTGGGGGACTATATATTGTTGTGATCAACTACTTAGTGTCTAAATTGTATATTAATATTGATAAAATTAACCTTTTCCTCAAAATGAGCAAGAGCTGACCAAGAATGTCCTTTGTCTTTCTTAATTTGTCATCATTTCCATTTTTATTTACCTTTTCACATTTTTTAGCCTCTTTCTATCTCATCCTACATCCCAAGCATTCTGTTCACTACTATACTTTCTTTAGACATCTCTTTTGTCTGTTTTGAAAATTATTTTCCTCTTCTTTC